GTTTTCCCCCATCCCGGCTTCACGTTCAAGGTTTAGCTGCGAGGTCACGTCCATTGACGTCAGCTCCCCGTCTCCCTCTACGTCCGGCTACATTTACATACATCAAGGAAATTAGGGCATTAAAAAAATATGCAAATCCTGCGCGAAGAGGAGCCGGTGCATTCCTGGCGCGATCGCCTTTTATTGAAGCTTTTAATTAAAGGGGCCAGTTGGCGAGCCCATGAAACAACCGCCAAAACCCCCAAAAGAGAAAAATAAATGCTGTAGCCTTCGGGAACGGTTGTTTCGGTTCCTGTTCTGTGGGCGGCTGAGGACCGCCGGCTGCCCGGCTCGGAGAAGAACAGGTTAGAGGAGGCAGCTCCAGCCCATGCATAATCAGGGCTCCGCGGCGCCTCCATTCTTTCCTCCTCCTCCTCCTCCTCCTCCTCCTGCACCAGCCCCGCTCCTCCTCTCTCGCCTCCTCCTCCTCCTCCTCCTCCTCCTCCACCTCTATTCCTCCACCTCCTCCTCCTGCTCCTGTTGGTTCCAGCGTATATTATTTTTAATACTGATGCATATGTAAAGATATATATGCATTTTTTAATTCGGGGGGGTGGGGAGTTCAGATTGTATCGTTTTACTCATTCTACCCCCTCCTGTTTTGCTATCTTATTATGTCTATCTATTTCTCTTGTTCCTTTCTGTCTATTTTTTGGCGAGTGTATGCTACTGTCTCTTGCTAGATAAATATGCACAGTTGCCTCCCTGCTTCTGTTTATTTAAGGCTCCAAATATGCACATCTGTCATGTATGTAATGCCAGCTGTACAACCTCCTGGTTTGGTCACAAAAGAAAAGACACTTTTTTTTTTCCTTTCCTGACCTACCTCCTTGATGGACTGTAATGTAATGTCCATTGCTCAGGGCTCAAAGTCTGATTGTCTAATTAACTTCATATTAACCATAACACAGTTTGGGCCAGTGCATTTGAAATAATGTATGTATAAAGGGAAGTGGCTCCCAAGATTTCTAAAGAATTTTTGTGCTGATTTACTGAAAAGTGCTGCCTTCACTACTGCCCTATTGCTTTCTAGCATTTCTTATTGCAAAACAAAAAAAAATTCTACTTTAAAATGTGTAGACATGGGAATGGACAGCCTTTTGCAAGGAAGACATTTTCAACCATGTTGTATGTTGTACCTTATCTGCTGCATTCAAAATTTACTGAGTTTCATTTTATCTTAGTATGTCTAGAACAAGGCACATTACCTTGATTGCAAAGTGTCCTTAATTCCTGATTGTGAAATGAAAACAAATAAACAAAACAGTTGGCTATCTTAAGCCAATTGATCTGCCCTAAAATATACAGGCCTTCAGTTAGATTTCAAGCAATGGTAATCTTGTTTATAGAGTAGGATTTCCTTCCTGGTGATATGTCAGTTCAGCACAATGGCTTTTGAAAAATATATATGTGCAAATCCACTTTTAAAATCCCCCCAACCTATTATTTTTTAAAATACTGAATCCACAAAGAACAGCAAATACACATTCATGCAGCTTATTCAATTAAACACATCCAAGTACATGCACAGGTAATTGGTTTTCTTATGAATGACTTACCTGCACAGACACTCAGGACGAGAGTCAGCCCTCCCCAATGGCTTTCATGTATAAATATTCACACGTATTTCCCCATTTTAAATCTACAGCTGCATATCATCTTTCATGCTGGACTATCCAGCCTCCATTTTTAACATCCTTAATGCTCATGGTGTTTGCAGCCTTACCTCTGGCTGTAGTTTTTCCAAGCTTACACCAAAGTGCTCATCTGGTATGTCACCCAATAAGAAGTGGTCAGATGGCTGCACGTAAAACATTCAAAAACGGAGACATACTCATCCTTGAGGTTTGCCCCTACCTTGCCATTTATAGCAAGATTATCTTTTCTAAAAGAACATTTTCAGCACATCTTATAAATAGTTGCAGATCCCACAACTGGTTGCAGAATTGCCCGTTTCTGGGGGTCACCTGCCTGAGTGAAACAATTCGGCAGGTTAAATGTCTCTTCGACTTTGGCCGCAATTCAATCGTGCGTGTCGGTTTGTTCCTGCCTGGATTCTGGCACATACCTGCCTGCCTTTATGCAGGGATTGGGACAAGCACACCGGCCACTTTGCAGGGCACAGAGTGGCGGCGCACGTATTTAGATGGTAGTAGCAAGCGATGTGTGCATGTACGGATGTCTGTGCATGCATGTGTGTGCAGACGCGTGTATGCGTGTGTGTGTGTGTGTGAGCGCGCTCTGTGACAAGGGACACAGAGAGGTACACCACATATCTGATCTCTGTAATCTCCTTTTCTGTTTCTAATCTCCCTTTTTGGCGCATGGTAGTAACCTGAAGCGTCTGAACCATCACCGTCATCGCCGGCGCGCGTGTGGCTTACCCTGGGGGCCGGTGGCTCTGTGCTCGCTGGCTCAGAGGATGCGGTG